AATGCAACCCTTACCCATAATGCATCCCTTACACACACAGAAACACACAATGCATGCATTACACACACTCAATGCATCCCTTACAGACACACACACTGCATCCTGTACATACACAGAAACACACCTTGCAGCCCTTACACATACAAACACAGATTCACACAATGCATTCCTTACACACATATCAGGACATCCCCTACACACTCCACCCCTGTGAACAAACTCATTGGTGGAACATGAAGGTGGACCCTGGGACCCAGACCTTGAGCTGTGTAAAGGGCCCCCAAAAAATGGAGCTGCTTCCCGTTCTCCCAGAACATTGATTTTTGTGACCACAGTTACAAACCACCTCCAGAGAGCCTGTTCTGCACCAGACCAGTAGAGCCAGACTGCAGCTAGAGCCCATCATCATCCTCATCTGGTTGTAAGTAGGCAATCTAGTATATTATTCGTGGCACTAATCTCTAATTTACCTCACATTAAAGGGACACTATAGTCCCCAGAACCACTGCAGCTTAATATAGTGGTTCTGGTGTCTATAGCCTGTCCCTGCAGGCCTTTTATTGTAAACACGGCAGCACTGTGTTAGTTAACATGGCAGATCATATGGGTGGGGCATTGTGATGTCACATGGGGGGGCGGCAAACTTTACTTTTGCCTAGGGCGGCAAAAACCCTTGCACCGGCCCTGTGTACCATCCTCTACTGTAATGAAACCTGTAAAGTGCTGATTATACCTGTTAACATATCAGTTTCTCTGAAACTGCTATGTTTACATCTGGAGGGTTAAAATCTGGGGGACCTGGGACCCAGACCACTTCATTGAGCTGAAGTGGTCTGGGTGACTATAGTGTCCCTTTAAATACCCTGGGTTGTCTACTTTTACAAATGGTATGCCAAGATGGGAAATATAAGATGGATATTGCACTAGCGAACCCTAGAACCAAAATAAATTTAGAATTTTTCTGCAGAAAACACCAATATGAAGCGAAATCGACCAAGCGGGTCTCAGCAACGAAAAATTAAGAAGGCAAGAGAAAAGTCAGCTGAGGCGATGTCTGGATCAATTTTAAAATATGTTGCACCTTCAACATCTACCGCAGTTGGAGAAAGTGCTGAAGACATTCAGTCTGTTGAATCCAGAGGTGAAATGCCTGAAGTATCTTCTCAAGAAGCTTCATATGTGAAAGCGCAAGAATTGGAGAAGATCATTTTATCTTCAAGCGGTGAAAGTGATGTAGATGAAGGAGATGCCAGCAGAAGCCTGCATCAGCAAGACTCTGATGATGATGATGATGAAGAAGAAGAGGAGACTGTTCGACTGTCAGTTTATTCTGATGTTGCTGCCTGGCCAGTTCCAGTTCCAGATGTTTTAAGAGTGGACCTTATTAAGAGGGGAAGTGAACCTTTCCAAAATAGAGATGGGCCATTCAGTCCTGTTGAAAGGCAAGGAGAGAAATCAAAAGGGAAGAGTTGACAGCTGACCACTGCATGGTTCTATAAGGCTCTGCCTAATGGCGAAAAAATTCTTAGAACTTGGATGGTGTACTCTCCATCAAAACAAAGTTTGTTTTGTTTTTGCTGCAGACTTTTTGCTGTTGATGACAAAGTAACAGGGACATCCAGTTTTGTTAATGGGTTTCAATTGTGGTGGAAGCTGAACCCAAAGGTGTCTGATCATGAGGCTTCTGAGCAGCATCTTCAATGCTTGGAGAAATGGGAGACCTTGAGAGCAGGATTGAAGCTACAAAAATGTCTCGATCATGTCCATCAAACAGCAGTGGACAGAGAGAAAAGGAAATGGAGGGATATTTTGCATCGCCTTTTGGATGTAACTTTGTTTCTGGCTTACCAGAATCTTCCCTTTCGTGGTCATAGAGAGACCATGTCATCCGCAAACAAAGGCAACTTCCTGGAATTGGTAGAATTGCTCTCTAACTATGATCCCATTTTAAAGGAACATTTCATGAGGCTGAAACATGCTGTTGCATCTGGAAAGAGAATGACTTCCTATTTCTCTCCATAAATTCAGAACGAATTAATTTGTCTTTTGGGAAATCATGTGAAGGACAAAATAGTGGCTGATATCAAGAAAGCAAAGTACTTTGGGATTCTTTTTTACAGCACCCCTGATGTGTCCCACACTGATCAGATGTGTGAAGTGATCAGATATGTTCATATTGAAGGGGACAATGTTGAAGTAAAGGAATCATTCTTGGGGTTGTTTCCTGTTGCTGAAAAGACTGCCGCTGAGCTCACAGAAAATATCCTGCAACATCTGGAGGAAGATGGACTAGACATAAGCCTTTGCTGTGGTCAAGGATATGATAATGCTGCAACTATGGCAGGGATTCATGGTGGTGTTCAGGCAAAAATAAAAGAGATTAATCCCAAGGCTTTGTTTATGCCATGTGCAAACCATTCCCTGAACCTATGTGGGGTGCACTCATTTGGAAGTGTTGTTTCCTGTGTGACCTTTTTTGGAACATTGGATAGAGTGTATTGCTTTTTTTTGGTTTCTACATATCGTTGGGAATTGCTGATGGAGAATTTAGGTGTGACAGTGAAAACACTTTCCCAAACAAGATGGAGCGCTCATTATGATGCTGTGAAGCCAGTGAGGGCAAATTTTGAAAAACTGACTTCCGCCCTTGAACAATTGTGTAATCCCAAAGAAAATGTGGACACAAGAGGATCGGCTCAGATGTTGCTGTCTGCTGTATGTGATTTTTCTTTTTTGTGTTACCTTTCTTTCTGGTGTGAAGTTCTAGAAGAAGTTAATATCACACAGAAATATTTGCAAACAGTCGGACTCACTCTTGAAAAGTGCATTGTGAAACTACAAGGCTTGAAAGCGTTTCTAGCAGATCAGCGCAGTGAAATTGTGGAGAAGGCCATTTGTTATGCAACTACTACGTGTAAAGAAATGGACATTTCTATGGAAAGAAGAGGGAGAGTAAAGCTCCATAAAACAATGCCAGGAAAGAAGGCAAAGGACGCTGGTCTCACATTGCCAGAGAAAATAAAAAGGGCTATGTTTGAGTGCCTTGATCGTTTTCATCACGAGTTGGAAATTCGTTCCCAGGCAATTGAAAAAATCCTTTCAATGTTTGCTGTTATTCAGCCAAACTCTCTGGTTGTGGCAACAGAGAAAGATATTCGTAATTATACCCCAAAACTGACTGAGATTTTTGACGAATTCTCTAATGAAGACATCTTTAGGGAAATTGAACGACTTCGGAGGCATTTGGAAGCTGCCAAGATCAGTGTTGAAGAAGCAAAGAAATGGACGGCATTGCAGTTCCTGGAGTTCATTGTTAAATGGGATTATTGTGAATCTCTGCCAAATTTGTCACAGTGTTTAAGATTATTTTTGACTCTGTGTCTGTCTATTGCTTCAGTTTTCCAAATTAAAATTGATAAAAAATTTCTTTCGCTCAACCATGAGTGAGACAAGGTTGACAAATCTGGCTATACTTTCAATTGAGCATGAATATGCAAGGAAGATTGGCTTTGATGAAGAAATCGATAAATTTGCAGAAATTAAGGCTCGAAGGCAGCGGATGTGAATCATTGCAAATTACCTCTGCCGAATAGACTGAGTGGTCACTTTGGATCTGTGTTGTTTTTTTTTTTATAGAAAGCGTATTAACTGTTAAGTAAATGTTAATTATTTAAATTTAATTTATTTCTAAGTTAATTTATTTTTTATACTTCCATTTTTTTCAAGTTTATATACAGTTTACAAATTTGTGCAATAAATATTATTGAAAACATTGAAAAAAATTGTGGGTGTTTTCTTACATTTTTATTATGGGGGGGAGAGGGGGTGCCACACTCAGGGTCCGCCCCGGGTGCCAAATGCTCTAGGTACGCCTCTGGTCATAGCCCCAAATAGTTTCAATAGTTTGGTGCTTTTGCTGATTAACTTTTGGAAGCTCCTGTGGCCGAAATTCGGCGTGCTCTGTCTGGCTCATTTGTTCCACTTAGTCACAGGCACCTTCCCTCCAGAAAAGCAAGTTGTCCGGGAACCGCAAGGTCACCTAGCCGAAAACAGTTCCATAACATTCGCAGCTAAGTACCGCTGAGGTGACCGGGAACCACAAAGTCCTAATGCCGAAATTAGTTCCACAGTGGTCGTGGCTAAGTACCGCTGAGGACCTTTCGTAAGTTTATTCATGCAAACGGCCGCCAGGGAGCTAGAGTTAAGTTAAATCCAGAGAAGAGAAAGTGCCGAACCAGGGACACTGAGAGAAAGTAGCTTGGGGAGGCCAGGCAGGTTAACTCCTGAATGGGGTCTTTGGGTACGGCCCATAGTCCTTGGGCATGAGGCTAGCTAGCAGGCTCCTCCAGGAGCTCATGGCATAGGCACGTTTGCCACAGTGCAGGTGTTGGAATCTCCATGACTCCCCCTCGCTGTCCTGACATTCTTCCTGACGCAGTACGCTGCACAGGGTGTTTGTGTTTGTTGACATGATCACACGAGCAATGTGACTGCTTTCCAATGACGTTGCGGGTTTGGAGATTACATCATTTCACTGCCTGCATGTCATTTTGAAAAAGACAATGGAGCTAGCCAATCACAAATGGCCTATCTCAATAAATAGTTATTGTTACCCTGTTGTGGTTTTAGATAGCCCAATAGCGCATTCTTTCGTAATTGACTCTTGGCTTGTTTAACGTTTATCCTGACCTCTGTACTCCTTTAGTTTACATCCATTTATCCAGTGTTCTCCTAATCTTGACTTCAGCTATTCCTCTGACTTTGTTCTCTGTTAGCACGTCCATTCTTAGGACATGGATCTCCTTTGTTGTGTTCTGGGATTGTGTGTTTTGGTTCCTACCCCAATTCTGACACAGGTAGTTGTTGTGCATCTGACACTGAAAATGTTAGTTATGTTTAAACATCTAAGTGTTTTCATATAATATTTTGAAAGGTACTTTCACGCTGACTCCTCCAGAGAGAGCCCCACTACCAGAGCCAGTAGAACCACACGCGGCAGGATTTCTCACAATATATTCCCAGGTTCAAAGGACACCGGTATGTTACACACATCTATGATATGCATTATCTTATTGTATTGCATTAGCAGATAGGATTAAAATACACCAAAATACTAGTGAAACTGACTTGGTGTCAAAATATATATTTTTTCAGCCTCACTTTAATATTTTACATTTTCAATAAGCTCTTCAAATGATTCAAAAATGTTGAAAAATATTTTAATATTTTTTAATGTTTCTATATTTTTTTATGTATAATATATTTTTGATATTTTAAAATTTAACCATTTGAAAAACTTATCTGGAAATATTAAATAATTTGAATAATGATTTTTCAAAAGATAAAATCGAGGCTTCTATTAGGTGATGCGCCTGTGCACATAGATTATGTATCCGCCCCCAAAAAATCCCCAACAAAAACAAACTTAAAAAGAACATAGACAAACTATGGGCAGAACACCTGCACAAACTGGGGAAAAGCAGTCAGTATTTCATTACTGTGAAATTATATAAAGTTTTTTGTATAATACTTATTTTCTCAAACCTCGTTCAGCTTACGGTCTTATCGTATGGCTAATGAAGTTTTGTTAAATATTATTTTACAGGTAAAAAACAACATTGCAACGGGCACAGAGAGACCACGAGCAGAGCACATGCACAGACTGGTAAGATGCAGTCAGTATTCATTCCTTGTTCATAAACTATAATTATTTTTATTGAATATTCGTTCGATTTTCTTCCGTGGGATATTGCAGAAAGATAAGTACTTTTATATTTCATTTTTAAATTTTTTTTATATATATATATATATTTATACTTTTATCTAGCAGAGAAAGAGAGGCAGAGAGGTTGATGTACACATAAATTATATAAGTGTATGAAAATAAAGAATCATTTAAAAAATCTCCCCGTCTTTATATTTATTTATTTATTACATATAAATTGTAATTAGAAAGCTATTACAGAATGTTTGTAAAGTAAGAAAAATAATTCTTCATGTTCCCCTAAGGTATTTAAAGCCAGCTGCTTTATGTAGAAAAGATCAAAAACATCCACTTCCTCTACTTTTTTGAGAGCTATGCAACTTTTTTTTTTTTTTTTTTTTAATATCCTCTGATCTGTACATTAATTATTTCATAGGATTCGCTTCCTGGATACCATCAACCGGAGTCTAACACACTATCGACAATATATGAGCTCGCGGGTCACTGTGAGCGTAATGGAAACCTCACCTAGGATTCAAAGTATCAGAACTTACTATATAAATACATCTGTCTACAACCTGCTGATGTGTAGAAATGAGAGCACTTTATTTATATGGGTTAACTTTGAGCGGAGTTTGTACAATTTTACATAATTGTAGTATATACCATTGATTCACTTAAAAGTTTAGAAATTGTTTTACAGAGATAATAATGTCGCAGGTATTTGGAAGCCCAATGTATTTGGATGCCAAGTTTATTTGTATAAAATACCTGCCCTTTTCAGGTCCCTACCTCCATTACTGTGCCAATTTGAAATATCTCTTATTATATAGCCAAAAATGAAGATTATCATTTATCTTCACAAATGAAGTTTATGACTAGTTTAGTTGTTGTTTTATATTGCTGTGTTGGTCTGCCAGCCTCCTCCCCCAAATTAACAAAAAATAAATATATAAAACTAAAACTCTCCTTGATAGAGCAACAAGGCCAAGTTCTCGCCGAAGCACAAGCCTTCTCAGCTGACATCACTCCCCCTATTTGGAGAAGGAGGTTAAGTAGGATGGGCTAAGGGAAGGACATGGGTGGCATGAGGCGGCATGATGTGTCTGCGGGCTTTAGACACCAAATATGCACAGGACTCGCATTGGCGACCCAAAACTCCTTCTCTGGGCTGGTTAATGACATCCCAACGATGCAGCCGGAGGTAGCAGCAGAAGAGTTAAACTCAATGTGCCACATTTCATTAAAGCACTGCATATTCAGACTCCATGCACCGTGAACACTTCAAATCAGTGACGTGGTCATGGTGCTTGGATTGACCCGTTACGTTTTTGATAAACATTCTCCTTTTTATTTTAATAAATTTCCAAGATGTACACCCTAATATATATATATATGCATATATATAATGTTTTGTCTGTTAAATATATTTTATTCTAAACAATAGAGCATTGTTATGTAGATATAATAAAGATGAAAACCAGCTAAATAAAATTGTCAGAAGCAGCCATATTGCTTTATATGCAGAATACATCATAAACATCATTTGTAAAGGTTATTACAATAAGTGTTTCTCTTAATGCTGCCGGCAAAGAGTTGATTGAACTTGGTTCCCAGTGATTGCAATAAAAATTATGTTAAAAAACCCCATAGAAAACAGATTGCATCTAATAAAAGGTCAGCAGTTTACCAATGCAAAAAATATATTTTATATATACTACTCATCTTTTATTAGACTCAACCTGTTTTGTATGTTTTTTTCCTGTTCTTTTTGGGGTATAGAGGAGGTCC